AATTTCGCCTATCAAACAGCCAAAAAAGTGAAAAGTGGAAAATATTTTCCTACTTCCCCGAAAAATGTGGCCTATCAAACACGGCCTAAGTCAAATTGAAGTAAATAGAACCCATTACATAATTTCCCCCCTTTAATTAATTCAAATGAAAATGTAATATGGATCAATATATATGTAGTAATTAATTAAAATACAGATGCTTATTTCCTCATGTTGTATTATTATTATTTTTCAAATTGATTTATACGTTATAAGTAGTGTACAATAAGAATAATGCTACATTTACAGTCTCCCTTTACAGCCCCTCACAGTCCACTCACATGGAGGTGGAGCCCACTCACTTGTGAGAGGACTGTGAAGCTCACTGTGAAGAGGGACGGTACATTTAGGAAAATTATTTCAATAAATGGTTTATCGCGAAAAGCTGATGATGGTGAGAACAAAATGAAGAAGGAGAAGTAAATAGTAGTTAAGAATCAAATTAAATCCTTCGCTTCTCAGCTCAAAGTATCTGAACTTGGATTTTTATGACCAACCAAATTATAGCTTGTCCGTTCGGTTTAGTTCGAGTCTAATTCCACCACTTTCATTTATTTCAGTCCAAGGTCAATTGAATACCCTACTCAAATATCAATAACATCAAAATGGAGAATTAAATATTACTTATTTGAAAAATTGAGGATATATATATTTTCAAGACTGTGTTTTCATCCCCAGTGGGGATGAATAGCATTACTCTTTCAAATATGCATATTTAAAATTATAGTTTTAGTTAATATATATAAACTTGGTGAATAGCCCATTTGGCATAATTTTTGTTTTTGTTTTTCCATCTTATAGAAGAATTTCATGAAAAAAGCTATTTTAGGTCGATAAAATTTCTTTTGTCTACACAAAACATTTTTAAACGGATATTCAAACATATTTAAAAATAATTTTTCGCTCGAAGAATTGTTTACTCAAAGAAATGCCTTTTTAAGTTATCAACGGAGCGAGATAAAAAAATTTCAAAATCAGGCATCTGGGCCATTGCCATTTTCATGGAATGCAAACTTCAATGTTCGCTCCACATATGGCCCCTGCTTGAGCTACGTTTTCATTTTCATTCTCATTCTTATGTTCATTTTCAACTATATATTTTTCAATAAAATAATATTTTCTATCACATAAATAACTTTTCATTATTTTTCAACTACATATTTCTCATCACATAAAAAAAAAATACACTCTCTCCTAAAAAATGTGCATCAAACACACCTATATACTTCCAAGTCTGAATCTTTTGATTTGGGGGCCAACTGGCTAAACCTTAAGCATCATTCTCTAATTGTTAGACTTCATAGGGGCGCCATAATTTTTTTTTTGAAAATTTTCCTGAGAAGGGAAAATAGGGGCACCTCATTGAACCCCACCCACCTTACTTTGATATGTTAGTTGGTCTCCACCTTCTAATCCTTTTTAGAAAAGATGATTAATGTTGTATTTTAGGTTGAAAAATGTGGAGTTATCATTTGCCCTTTTTAAAAAATTGGTCAAATAAGGTTAGAACGTTGAATTTTGGTCAACTAAAGAATTTTTAGACGAAAATTGTCAAGAGGTCCTTCTAATGCACACTTTTGAAATGTTTGGAATGTATCTGCACGATTTAAATGACAAGATTTAGTGTAGGTTCTTTGTGTTATAACTTATAAGCTCAAGTATAGATTTTGTGTCTTAATATTTTAGTATTCAATAATGTAAACTAATGACCCTAAGTTTTGAGATTGAAATGAGCCCTAAGTTCCATCTAAAACTACAAATTGGAACATTATTGACCAAAATTTTGAAATTGAAATGGTCATCTTGTCACGGTGGATTCGTATAGTGATCTAAGTTTTGAGATTGAAATGATTATTACTTGTTCCAAATAAATATAAATTGTTTAATTCATTTTACTTAATATTAACGCTTGAAGTCGAGCTTGTGTGATTTTTTATATTTTTTCAAGTTAAATTACTATTTTTTCAGTTTCGAGAGTGATGTGAATGATGTTGATCGAAGCACTCGATCGTAATGATCACATCTTTTTAAGATCAACAAATGATGATTTAAACTTTATAATAAAAAAAAACTGTTTTTGTCCATGTTAGTCCCCGTTTGAGTCCCATTTTATAAGAAAATGTATTTTGGAGAATGTGTGTTTAGAAAAGAAAGAAAAAATTTCAATTTATATATAAAATTATTTTATAAAAGAATATGTGATTGAAGATAAGTTTTAAAAAATGAGTTCTTGAACAATCGAGAGCCAAAGATCCTTGGCAAAAAAACCCGACAAAGCCGCCGCCCCAAGCGGAGCAGGGATAACCGTCATAACCCGCTTAATCGGGTAATCGAGGCGGGGATGGGTAACGGGCGGCCCGTCCCGTTAAAGTTTTTATTTTTTTTTAGAATTCAATATTTTAAATAAAATTTTTTACAAATTTTCATTAATTTTAATAGAAAATAACAACTAAAATTATTTGTCTAAATCTAATGAATATGGGCAATAAAAATAAATTATCAAAAAAAAAAATTTAAATTGGGAATAAACGGGAAAATGACCTACTCCNAATAAAAATAAATTATCAAAAAAAGAAAAAAATTAAATAGATAATAAACGGGGCAAGAATTCCACCTTCAACGGGCAACGGGCTGGGATGGCCCGCATAGCCATCCCTAGCCAAATATGACTTATATGCCATTGCAACGTTGCCGTTTCAAATTGCGTCGATAAATTTGAGACAAAAGTGTTTTGAAGGGAGACGTTGCTTATGCGGGACCCGCCAATACCACTAACTTGCCAATCCGGTCATCATCTCACACTGCCTTTCTATTCCATCGTAACTCTTCAACGGGTCCCAACGGTAGACCAAAGACTTCGATCCTCCACCGAAGGCCTTTGTAGGCTAGGGTTTCAAGCAGAAAAAAGGACAAACAGAGTCTTATCCATTTCAAGATTTATTCAAATTCTCTCGCCAAGGTGAAAAGATTCTCTCTTTTAAATTCTTTAAGGTAATTTTATTTTATTTGAAGATGTGCTTGTTGTTGAATTATGTTCATCGATGCTAGATCTTGTTCTGTGAAGCGATTGATGGAATTTCGGTCTTTATTTTTAATTTATTAGCTTTATACTTTGTGGATTTTGCTGTTTGTTTTAGGTTTGTGTTATGTTGTTCTTAGCTGGTTTTTTAATTTTTTTTTTCCCCAATTTGACAATATATATCAGTTTGTTGTATTATTGTTCTTCGTCAAGCTTTAAGTTCTGAAATTTACTTATTTGCTTGTTAAATTGCTCCCTTAATCTTTGCTTGCTTGAACTCTTTGTTTTCTTAAAGCTAAGATAGTATATTTGACTTTTGCTTTTAGAGGTTTAAATTGTTTAATTTTGGTGCCTTAGTAATAGCAATCCTTTGATTTTCATTGAAAATATCCTTTTGTATTGTAAGGAAGGGTTTCGTTTCATTTTGTTTTGTTTTTTTAGTCAGAATAAGCTATATTTGTTCCAAATGAAGTTGATTTTGGTGATCAAAAGAAGTTGTGTATAAATTTTTCCACAGCTATTATTATGACAGCACGTGCTACTTTTTCCTGCTTGGGCCGTGGCTAAATTAATGTTAAATTTTTAGATTACTGGTTTAATTAAAAGGAGAAACAATTGAGTTGAGATTGACCTTAATTTATAGTTAATTGAGTAGACTTTGATCTTTACTCTTCAAATTCATTTAAGGTATTTCCAGATGGGGACATCTTCTGGATCTCACTTCAATCACCAGTCCTCAATGCTGCCCCCACGGCAACAGCCACGGCCTGGAGGACTGCAGACGTCCCTCTCCCTAGTCTCGCCAGATACATGTGGATCTCCAAATTTTCAGGAGCGTGGCTCAAATTCTGATCAGGTCCGTGAATCCCCATCTGAAAGTGCTAGTTCGCGAGAAACCTGGCCCACTGCTGATGCTTTAGTAGCAAAGAAACTGGAGAAAGAGAAGGAAAGAGAGAGCGGTTTTGCTGAACATTCTGTTGTTCGGCGCATTTCAAGCTCAGATAAGATGTCTCTGCGAGATGTGGCCAGAGAAAGAGTCGATATTATAGCAGAAAGAATGCAAAATCTTCCTGATGAGTTCCTGGATAAGTTTAAAAATGAGCTTCGGTCATTTCTTGAAGGATTGGGTGGTTCCCAGCAACGAGAAGAGTTTCTTTTTCTGCAGAAGATAGTTCAAAGTAGGGGTGATTTGACTGATAAAACACTAATTCTGGCACACAGGGTTCAGTTAGAAATTTTAGTTGCTATAAAGACTGGAATCCAGGCATTTTTGCACCCTAGTGTCAGTCTCTCTCAAGCTTCTCTTATTGATATTTTCTTATACAAGAGGTGCAGGAACATAGCCTGTGGAAGTGCACTGCCAGCAGAGGACTGTACTTGTGAAATGTGCTCTAAGAGAAATGGTTTCTGTAACCTATGCATGTGTGTGATCTGCCTCAAATTTGATTTTGAGGTGAACACATGTCGATGGATTGGTTGTGATCAGTGTTCTCATTGGACTCACACAGATTGTGCCATCCGAAATGCTCAGATTGGTATGGGCTCTTGTGTTAAGAATGGGGCTAGCTCAGCAGAAATGCTATTCAGATGCCGAGCTTGCAATAGGACATCTGAGTTGTTAGGTTGGGTGAAAGATATCTTCCAGCATTGTGCACCAAGCTGGGATAAGGAAGCTTTGATTAGAGAACTTGACTATGTAAGTAGAATTTTCAGTGGGAGTGAGGATCCAAGAGGCAGGAAATTGCACTGGAAGTGTGATGAACTCATTGGAAATCTGAAAAGTGGGGAGACAGAACCCATGGCCAGTAAAGCTATTTTAATGTTCTTTCAAGGTAAGCTTTATTTGCTAGGCGGTTTCACCATCGCCCTTTTTAGCTATATTGATTGCTTTGACTTTTTTTATGTGGGCAACATGAATGCAAAAACAGGTATCTGTACCTGCTTTTTGGTTGCTCGGCCACTAAACATATTTCATATTCAATTATAGAATCTTCTTTCAGAACACTCTTCAAAACGTGATTTGGGTTGAGAAGTTTTTTTACAAATGGCGATCCAATAGCCTCTTTGGTTAAATTTGAAATACTTGGTACTTTTAATACGAACATTGCCAAAAATATTTTTGATTACATACTTATTTTGCAATATGCCTGGTGTGTGAGGTTGCCTTTTTCCTCTCTAATTATTTGAATAATTACAGGATGGATTTCTGTTGTTGACTTTGATGCACTTGAATTATCCATCCCTAGTTTATTTCTTTCACAAATTTCTGCTATAGCCTGCTATTGCTGAAAAATTCATGGCCTCCAAGGTATAGGGACTGATTAGAAGCTAATTGATGATGTGAAAAGAAGCTAAATATGTACGTCTTTAAGTCATGTAGCTCTTCTTGTGGGGAGTGGTATTCCTTCTATGTTTCTCTTGCTGTAGGATGCTCTTTGTAGGCATTTATGGTTCCCTATTTCAAATATTTTTTTATTTTATTTTATGTGACTATGGATACGAAGTGTAGGTCAAATTGGTGATGACCAATAGACCATAGTGTGGTGGATGCATTGTGATGGTTTTGGTGCTAGCTAAAAGTTCTTTAGCGAGTACGAGGTAGCATCATCCTCTTCTAACTTTGATCACTTGAAGGGAGGAACAAGATTCACTGAGAGAAACATGATAACTTACTTGGTGCACCACACCTCTCAAATTTTCCTTCTTGTATACTAGTAAATTCTTTTTCTTTTCTTGGGACTAAGAATCTGGTCACTTGAGATAATTTTGAGAAGTTCGAACAAAACATACTGATAACCTATTATTGGCATATATTGTGTCACGTTCCACGGAATAACATGAATAACCAAACTCTTATACTGTTTGAGAAACATATCCATATTTTGCAGTTTTTTTATTCCTTTTGTAGATTTTCTTTAATTAGGCATCTTTGGTAAAATGAAATTTACTGAAACAGAATACAGTCCTAAGGTTTTGCATTAAGGGGATTAGGGTTTGTGTCGTGAACTATTTGTGAAACAATGAATACTAGTTTGAATTACATTAAATCAAATTACCTTAGACAAATACTTGCATCCACTTGAGAAGTGTTATTTTAGGCTTATGTTTATCTTACCATGTTGCTTGAACACCAACCATGGGCTGGTCTATGATAGGGCAATTCCTCTGTTCATATTGTAGAACTGTATGACTATCTTTTGAATGTGTGAATTCCAGTTTGAAATACAATTTTTTAAATTTAAATTCAGGAAAGTAAGCAGATTTATCTAGAACTCTCTCTGAGAATTTTCACTGGAGATGAGATCTAGCTAATAGAATTGTGTACATAGAATATCCATTTCTGCTTTTCTCGAGCCATTCTTTTAAGAGTTTATTTCCTTTGCAGAGCTTGAGGTGGACCCTTTAAAGAATCAAGAGAGTGAGGAAGGAGGGCGGATGATATCTCCACAGGAAGCATTCAACAAGATAGCTGATGTAGTTCAGGAAGCTGTTAGAAAAATGGAAATGGTATCAGAGGAGAAGATGCGGATGGTTAAAAAAGCCCGCTTGGCTGTAGACGCTTGTGAGCAAGAGCTCAAGGATAAAGCTAGGGAAGTTGCTGCATTAAAAATGGAAAGGCAGAGAAAGAAGGTACAAATCGATGAGCTTGAAAGTATTGTAAGGCTTAAACAGGCTGAGGCTGATATGTTTGAGCTGAAGGCTAATGAAGCTCGGCGAGAAGCTGAGAGGTTGCAAAGAATTGCACTTGCCAAGACAGAGAAGTCGGAAGAGGATTATGCTAGCAGGTATCTAAAACAGAGATTGCACGAGGCCGAAGCTGAGAAGCAATATTTATTTGAAAAGATTAAGCTTCAGGAGAGTTCGAGGGCATCACAGAGCAGTGCGGGAACAAGTGACCCTTCCCAGATGATGTACAGCAAAATTCAAGACCTGCTCAAGAACATGTACAATGGTCATTCAAAGGCAGAGGGCCAATCAAGTGACCTTCATTCTCTGGGTGCAATTCCTTGAGTCTTGTCAATCTGTACATTAGATTTTTAATTTGAGACTCGGGTATGAAACTTTTCATTCGCAGTGTGAATTGTTGTTGTTAAAAACTTGAAGTTCAGAAATCAAGCTCGTGGAAAGTCTTATTTCCATGTTTTAATGTATTTGTGGATGTGGTTTTGAGCATCCTGTGTAATCTGGATTCTTTTCTTCTACTTTATGCTTGTAGTGTTCCTCTCTTCAGCTTCTGTATTTTATAACAGATACTGTTATTTTGAAGAAAGCATATGATATCATTGGAATGCTGCACAAATTTCTAGTTGAAACTTCAAACTGACCATGATTGTCGAGTACGATCCAAAATTTCCAATCTATTGCCAATGTTTAACCTCTGCTCGTTCCCATGATTAAGGTTCTTCTTGGTGACCATATGCTCTGTAACAAGGTTAATATGGACATTTCGAGTAAATTGCACCTGAAAGTTACCGTCCCACTGATTCTGGCAACGAGTTTGTCTGCTTTCTTGTTAAGTCGTCATATCGTCCATGTTTGAGCCACATTCTCATTCTTCTTCTCATTTTCAACCACATATTTTTCATTCTCAATAAAAATCGAAATTAAGGATAAAATATAAGAAAGCTTTTATCCTATCATCTTCACCATATTCTCGTAAAAAAATGGAGGACCATATTTAAGCATGGAGAATGTGTGAATTTGCGTGTAATATTATTTTATTGAAAAATGTGTGGTTGAAAATAAGAGAGAAAAATATATTTTTACATTATTTGATCCCCATTTTTTTTTTCAAAATACACTTTTCTCTCTTATTTTCAATCACACATTTTTCAATAAAATAATATTACACAACTCAAAAAATCTTCTTTCATTTTTAACCACACATTCTCTATCAATCTATTATATCAAAATGCATTCTACATAAAAATGCAGCTCAAACAAGCCTTTAGAAATAAAGAGGACCAAAAAAGGCTTAAAATATAACATAAAATAAAATAAAAATTAAGTTTTGGAGTTTCCACCATTTCGCTGTTTCCAACGAAAGGTGACAATTTGGCTCGCCAGCATGGCGGCTCATGGTTCGGCCGAAAAAAACTCGGCTCATGGCTCGGTAGAATCAAGCCGAGGCTCAGGATAAGTCCCATTTTGGGGAGTCGACTCGAGTTCAAGCCAACCCGTATGGCTCGACGAGCCACAAAAAAAATTGTAGTATTCTAGTTTCAACTTTAATCTTCAATTTCTTTAAAAAAAATTAGATTTGTCAGGAGTTCAAAAAAAAAAAAAAAAGCTCAGGTTGAGCCTAATTTTTTTTTGCTGAGTAAAAGCTCAGTTTGACTCGAGCCAAAAAATCTAAACATTTTTACTCGAGTCGAGTCCAAACTTCAAATTTCGGCTTGAATCCTATTTCCAACCAAATGTGTGAGACAGGACTAGAGGTGTCAATCCGGGTGGTCCGAGCCGGGTCGGCCCACCAACTTGTGAGCCCAGTAACGACCCGCATGAAAAAAAACCTGGTCGCTGCGGGTTCCGGGCCGGTTACTGGTCGGCCCACAATTTTGGACTACAACCCAGCCCGACCGCTGCCCCCTCCGGGTCGAGCCCATG